TGATCCAGAAAAAGTAGGAAAGAGGACAGATACAAGCCTCCCCAGCCCTACAGAGCCCTTGAAGGAGATGGGCAATCTAGAAATATGAAAAATGAATGAATAAATCAATGAATGAAAACTGTATTTATTGCCAAAGAAAATTATGGAAAGGTTGAGTACTGCATCCATCAATCAATCAATCATGTGGTGGCTTATCTTGCAAAGACCCAGGTGAGAAGAGAGGTGAAAGCAATGGAGGTGGTTCCATTAGGCCAGGGATTGGCAACTTAAACACTCGAAGAACCACAAAGGTCCTAACTGAAAGTCCCCCGTTCAATTCTGGAGCCAACTGGAAATCCAGTTCCTCCACCATAGAGTCTCCTTAGCATGGCATCCTTTTTCCTCTACCTCTCCTAATTGAAAGCCCTATCAATTGTGGAGCCGACCAGCAACAAGGGAGCCACAGCAGAGGGATGAAAGAGCCACATGTGGCTCCACAGCCACAGGTTGATGACTCCTGTATTAGGCTGCAACCCTATCAATAGATTACATCAATCAGTTGGAGCCAGAATAACTCACTGGAGCTCAGTCAGTTCATTCAATTCCAAAGGGCTCTTAATTTGAGGAGTTCTTAATCTTTATAGGTCATTACCATTTCCTTACCATCTTCCTGTTGTTCAAGTCCCTCAGTTGCATGAACAAGAGGGAAAAATACTTGTCAGAAATTCTGGCAATCACCAAAATGTTGTATTTTTTGAAGTAGCCATAGAACCTTTGTCAAAGATAATTGAAGAACTGGCTTGCACAGCTTAAGGATCAAGGAAAATGGATATGTATTCCATTCTGATATCAGATTGGTAAATATGGATCTTAGGGATGGGCTAGATGTTGCTAAAATGAAAGATATTAATTAATTATATGTTAATACATCATACTGAACAAATCCAAAAATATTCTGCAGATCCAGGCATGCAAATAGATTAAACCCTACGCTGAAATGTATGTAATCAGTTGCAGAGCATTTTTGCAGGAGTTTTATTTTGTATTATTGCTCTGGTCTAGGATCAGTTAATGAAGGCGTCCTGTAGATTTTGTGGAACTATAGTTCCTGTCATGTTGGACTTTTGGCCATGCCAATTATGGCTGCTGGAAGCTCCAGGCCAGAGCATCTGAAGGGACTGGGTTCGGCATGAACTTGACATTTATTGTGATTACAAGGGCTACTTTCCACTTTCAATTTAGTTGAGTGTATATGTGGTGTTCAAAGAGGCAGCATGGTTTCACCAAGCTTTGATTGAAAGGTCCCTTTGAAGAGGTGTCCTAGATTGCAATGTCACTTTCCTATGAAATGCTGATCAGAGGGGTCCAAGGACATTTGATCTGGAGGCAAAAAAAGAAACTTTTTGTCTGCGTTCAGTGATCTGTGTCCAGTATCCAGATTGAATCATCCCACTTTTTGCTTGGGGGAGCAGCTTAGTATTTTGGGTCAAGATGGGGCAATCTGGATCAAAGTAGGGCAAGATCACTCAGCAGAAGGCCCCAGTCGGGCAATCCTCTTCTTCAGAGCTGAAAAAGACAACACTTGTCTTGACCAGCGTTTTCCAACCTCAGCAACTCCCAGAACTCTAGACTGAATGAAACAAGTAGCTTGTTTATCAGAGTAGGGAGATGTTTCTCTAGAGTGGACAATGTTCTTTTTAAAAGCCTTATTTACTTGCTTTATAATCTGTGCATTTTTGCACCTGTCCCTTCTTTTGATGTACCAACAAAAGCAATTAATACTCAGCAGCATACCAAGAGGATGTTATTTTTTGGGGTCAGTCTGTGTTGCTGGATGTTTTTTAAGGACACATGTTTTTAATCAAATTTCATGCATTCTTCATATTTTCCCTGAACTGAAAAAAAAAACCCAATAAAATGAAATAACTTTCAAAAGAGAATAGGACAGCTATAACTTAAGCTGCATTTATATTTAACTATTTAATTCACACCTTTATTATTAAGTTAAATTTATTTTGTGTTATGAAGAATTGTGAAAACATATTGCTTCAGAAATCATCTAGCTCTAACCTCTTCACTTATTTGTTTATTTATTTCAACTATGATTTGTATTTCTTGATTTTAGAGGAATTTATTAGTATGGCCCTTTTTATTTATATTTGCTATTTTATACTCTTGCTTTTTATCTATTGTGCCCTACCCAGAGTTGCCTCGGGTGGGATGTGCTTCTATATAAATTTGATAAATAATCAAACAAATAAATGTTAGATTAAGTTTTCCTAACGGATTCAGATCCTGTCTACCAGCACAACAACAAATTGTTTACAAGTATTTATAAACACACACACACACACACACACAGTCATTGTTTCTGTAAGATAAATATACAGTTCTTTTCACTATTCTCCATCACTTGATTTCCAGTTCCTTTACATCTTGTTAGCCCTTCTCTGAACTTGTTCCAGTTTGTTCATATCTGTTTACGTTAATCTTTTAGCCACTGTCATTTAATGTTTAATTCTGCCTGCATTCCTAGCTGGCATTAATCCATTCTGTAGCTAATTCATGACTGATTACAAAAAGCTCAGTTTTTAGTTATTTCTTGTTTTTTCACTGCTCTCCAGGTGAACATCATTCCCATCATTGCCAAGGCTGACACTATTTCCAAGAGTGAATTGCACAAGTTTAAGATTAAGATCATGAGCGAACTGGTCAGTAACGGAGTTCAGATTTATCAATTCCCTATTGATGATGATGCTGTATCTGAGATTAACTCTGTGATGAATGTAAGTAACATGTTCTTCTGTAGACTTTCTATGCTTCTGTATAGCAGTGACCCTGAGAAACTGTATGTTGTGTTAGCTGGTGAATGCCATTATAATAGTGTTTATTCCTACCATTTCTCAAATGGATGTGCAAGGAAGCAGTGGCATTCTCTCCATCTGGAGTGGTTGCCATTTAAGACAATCCAGTGATTTGGTGTGGAATATAATCCTTCTTCCTTGATACATTTCATGTTCAATGTCTGTTTAGAATGGAATAGGAATTTGTAATGCAGTCTGGAAAGTCGCTATCAAGTTTTTCATATTCTTGGATACATTTTAGATTGGGAATATTGAAATAATTTTTGGCATATATTGTGCTACAGCAAAACATCAGTCAGATTGATGAATGTAACTACTCTGTATTTCAGAAAAGGGAAGAGGAGGAGAAAGAAAAATGATATTGTATCTGCCATCATCTGAGAGAGCAAAATGTTTCTATTTCTTCTTAAATTTGTTATTACATTTATAACTTGTCTTTGCTTTGCACAACTCAAGACATCATACATAATGCTCCCACTGCCTATTTCTCCTCAGTAACAATCCTGTATGGTGGTTTATGCTAGAAGACACAATCTCCCGATTTCTAATCCAGCACTTTAGCCACTATGCCAAATTGCCTCCCCCCCCCAATCCTGTTTATTAGTGTTTTACATTATATCCCATTTAGCTTGGAATTCAAATTTCTTGCAATAATCCCACAAAGAGTAAATTGTGCTGGGAGAAAAGAAATTTGATCAGTGATATGCAAATTTTAAAAAAAATAACAACACAAAATTAAAATCAAATAGATGAGATAACACACAAGCATAAAAAAGATAAAATACCAAATAAAAATGTATCATACTGTATTGTACTATAATTAGCTCTGCAAATGTACATATGTATTACCTAAAACAATGTGTTGAACTTGATGTGATAAATAAAAGAGAAGTGGTTACTTCTGTGAGCAGTTATATTTTATTTTCATCATTGCAATACAGGATTTGGCTACTGCACAAATAATAAAGGGTTTTGAATTTTCTAGAAGATGGTTCATACAGAAATTGTCTGCCCTTCCTGGAAATGTATATATGATAGAAAGATATACTTAGACTTAGGCATTCCCTATAGAATTTACCATGAAGAAATGAGAAAATTATTGGCCCTAGCTTAATCTGACAACATGCTATATGAGGCAGAAAAATCTCCTGGCTAGTCTGCTTGTTGAGCTATTCCTGCAAGTAACTAGAATAGCAAACTATTGTTTAGCATGCCATAATGATTTGTAAAAACAAAAGGGTTTGTTCTGTTTGGCTTATTCTTCTCTCTATGATTGCTCAAAATAAACTTCTGTTTGTGGATAGAAAGATGTGGAATGCAGTATGTAAAAACTGCCAAAAACACTATTCACAAAAATGGTGGATTTAAAAATTCCATACATGATTTTATAGCAAATTCAGGAGTAGCCTTTTATTTAATGTGCTGTAGAATAATAAACTTTCAAAAATTAGGATTTATTTTGTTTGTCCTGGCAGTCCTGTCTTAACATCATACCGATTCCATAGACATTAAAAAAAATGTTTTCTATTAGGAAATTTGCATTAAAAGTTTTTTAAAAATCCTTTTGGACAGTTCTATTGTTTTGCCCTGAATTTCATAGTTATATTTTTTCCTTCAAGGCTCATTTGCCATTTGCTGTTGTGGGAAGCACAGAAGAAGTAAAAGTGGGAAATAAAATGGTGAGAGCTCGGCAGTATCCATGGGGTGTTGTACAAGGTAAGTTGGGACTCCAGACATGTTTAACAGTGGCTGAAATCCTTGTGTGCTGCAGCTTGCTAAAGAATATTTATTGCTGCTATTCTTCTTGTGACTGCACAGTGAGCCAAATGTTTAGGCTGGATTTGATATTTTTGTTCAGCTGTCAATTATTATCATATTTTTATCCACCTTTTTATCTATTTTGGCTAAGGTGTGTATGTGTGTAGGTTTGTGTGCATTATATTTGAATAAAAGAATAATACCCACTCAATATATATTACAAGGCGTAGACTTATTAAAACATAATATTGCAATGCCAGTGAATATCATGGTCATGAAACAATAATTCAGAAAGATCATTTCACTAGCATATTTGTTATTGTTGTTGTTGCCTTAAGTGTTATTTTTTATATTCACCTGTGGATTTGGCTCTGCATACATTTTTATATTTAATAGATTATTTATCCTCTTGCCACTATTTCTATTATACTTTCGTTTTGCTATTACAAGTTTTGGTTGTTTATCTAACCTAAAATTTGTATTTCTTTGAGTTTTATCCCACCTTTATTATTTTTTAAGTTTGCCATGGTGGCAAATTTAGCTAATACTCCTTCCTCCTCCTGTTTTCCCCACAACAATGACCCTGTATGGTAGCTTGGTCTGAGAAACAATGACTGGTCCAAAGTCATCCAGCTGCTTTCGTGCCTGAGGTGGAACAAAACTCACAATCTCCTGGTTTCTAAGTCACCACATTAAACACCATACCCAACCTATATCTGTGGAAAGGCATACAAATATTTGATCACATTAAGTAAAAAAAAGAGAGAGAAGAGGTTTAATAGTTTAATAACACTGATATATGATTTGATCTTAATGTTTATAATTGATTCTGAAAAGTAGCTTCCAATATCCTATGAATAATAGGATTTCAAAAATGGATTTGCAACACATGCTGAATAAATAAATCAGCCTCTGCTATTCAGCAAAGCAGAGATGTCATGTTTCAGAGGCTTCCACATGATTGCTTTAACAATTCAAATAGAGTTGCTTTGTTTGTGTTCCACACATTGCAAAGCACCTCTTTCAACACAGCTGCAAGGGACCGAACCCTTTTGAAGTCAGGGTGATGAACCTCTGAGCAAAATATACACAGGAGCCTGCAGTCTATCATAGTTTCTAATCTCTCTATCCCAACACTTTTACTTTTCTGGAGGATGCTTTTTGTTCATACAAATGCTGCATTAATCCTGCAAGAGGAGTGTGTGTGTGTGTGCGTTTGTGTGTGCGTGTGTGTACATGCACATGGGCAGATGCTTGTCTCTATGTGAACCAGTCATTTTCTCCTATGTGTTTTCACATCTGCTCTTTGTTTAAATAGTTGAAAATGAAAGCCACTGTGACTTTATGAAGCTGCGTGAAATGCTGATCCGAGTTAACATGGAAGACCTGCGAGAGCAAACTCATGCTCGCCATTACGAGCTTTATAGGCGGTGTAAGCTAGAAGAAATGGGCTTCAAGGATACAGATCCTGACAGCCAGCCATTCAGGTAAGAAAGTCTTACATTTCTTCTCTCCTCCCCCCTCCCCATATTAATACGCTGCAGGGAGTTGTGAAAACTGGATGTTCTCTTAGGGTCTGTGGGAGTTTAACCCTCAGGGTGTGGGGTAGACATGTCGTCTCTTTGTGTTTTCGCTCTCTTGAAATTTTCCCCTTTCTGACACATGCAAACTTTTTCATGGGGTATAAAATGCATTTTCAGATATTTGTGACCTTGAATAGTTTACCTTGCATCTTTCTTTTAATGTCTGGACAATTTGGAACTTGTGTTTTCCACCAGCCTTCAAGAAACGTATGAGACCAAAAGAAAAGAGTTCCTTTGTGAATTGCAAAAAAAAGAGGAAGAAATGAGACAGATGTTTGTGAACAAGGTCAAGGAGACGGAGTCTGAACTAAAAGAAAAGGAGAGAGAAGTGAGTATGGCAGACAATGACTCTACTACACAAATTCCTACATTAGATGGGACTGAGTTTTTCTTTTTGTTTTCCCTGTATTGGTCAAATGTTTGAAAAGGGGAATTTCCAGATCTTTCTACTATTAAAACAGGTTAAACTGGCCTAATATTTTCTTCCCACTGGTAAATCATTAAATCCCTCTAGAAAGTTAGTATTATGACACAAAACACTTATATGCATGTGTGGGTATGCCTATGTATGCAAGCCAATGCTTGCAAGAAGATATTGGTTTTATATATTACATTTGTTTGCCACCCATCTCACTGTGGATGTAAAGCTTAAGAGTCCTGCCATTTCTTTATCTTATTTGATTTTGTTTTGTTTCAACAACGTGACTTAAAAATCAGAAGACTGATTTGCCAGGGAGCAGGGTAACATAATTGTTACGTTTTAAAATGCCCTAAATTAATGGTATCATAGAGGATTGTCACTTCCCATGAATCTGCTTATTTTACAGTGGTGGATTTGCCCATGTATCAATCAGTGTTCTGAAGCAAGTCATTTATTTAAAACAAAAGGAACTAGGAACTTTTTGTTTCCCCTACATCAGGGGTGTCAAACTCAATGTCAGGGTTCTAAGTAACACCCCCAGCAGAAGTAAAACTCAAACGCCGACATTTTTCTGAAAGTTCCATTTTATTAGAGATGTCTTATTGGCACCTCTGGGAAAACCTGAATCTAAAAGCCTTCTAAGTTTTCCCACCCAAATCAAAATCAAAGTTCCTTCCCCTGCACCCACATGTTCATCGCATGGTCCAATCATGTCCCCATCCCAACTGGAGTTGCTTCCCAGTCATGCCTCTCCAGGTACAGGCTGAACGTCCTTGACTACCAGGGAAAAGTATGTTGTTATAGCTGTACATTTCACCCTGTCTCCATCCACACCCCCTTTCCATTTCCCACAGCATGCCCATCTGCCAAGTGTGGCAGCCCTGAAGATCCAAAGATGGCCTCCAGGGCTGACACGAATGGCCTGCAGGCCAAGATACATCATGCACTGGCCACCCCCACCCTCAGTTTAGCGACGGAAAACATCACTATATGTCACGTGACGACATGATGATGTGAGTTTGAGTACATCCATGCTGTACATCAGTCAAACATGATGTACTTTAGCA